AAAAGCTAATGGGGTCAGGGGGGAAATCATGTGTTCTAAATTGATTTGGCTTTTTAAGTTTTATTGAAAAGAGTTAGCTCTCTCTAGCTATTATTATAATTATTATTTATTTTAAGATGAAGTTATAAGTATTTATTTTTTATGACTATCTTTTACATGGTAGTTTTTTAAAATTATTTCATTTATTTATCTATTTTATTTTTTATTTTCATATACATAACAGTAAAATTGTCTGTTTAGCAGTTTATATGGGTTATTTGTCTATATTGTTTAAGGATGCAGTTTTATATAGCATACAATTTTTTTTTAACTCCATGTAACATTTATTTTTTTCAAAATATTTTTTGTGCACCTGTGCTAAATGAATACAGAATCAGATAAGAGATGTACATCCATTATGTAATTTACAATTAGAATTCTCACAGATGCACACACACGGACGCACACACACGCACATGGTCACACACACGCACATGGACACACACACGCACATGGACACACACACGCACATGGGCACACACACGCACATGGGCACACACACGCACAGACACACCCACACACGGACACACCCACACACGGACACAACCACAGGACACACGACACAACCCACACACGGAACCACACACGGACACACCCACACGGACACACCCACACACGGACACACCCACACACGGACACGCCACACACGGACACGCCCACACACGGACACACCCACGCACGCGGACACACCCACGCACGCGGACACACACACGCGGACACACCCACACACACACGCGGACACACACCCACACACGCGGACACACCCACACACGGACACCCACACGCGCGGACACCCACACGCGCGGACACACCCACACGCGCGGACACACACCCACGCGCGGACACACCCACACGCGCGGACACACCCACACGCCGCACACCACACGCGCGGACACACCCACACGCGCGACACACCCACACGCGCGACACACCCACACGCGCGGACACACCCACACGCGCGGACACACCCACACGCGCGGACACACCCACACGCGCGGACACACCCACACGCGCGGACACACCCACGCCGCGGACACACCCACACGCGCGGACACACCCACACGCGCGGACACACCCACACGCGCGGACACACCCACACGCGCGGACACACCCACACGCGCGGACACACCCACACGCGCGGACACACCCACACGCGCGGACACACCCACAGCACACGCGCGGACACACCCACACGCGCGGACACACCCACACGCGCGGACACACCCACACGCGCGGACACACCCACACGCGCGGACACACCCACACGCGCGGACACACCCACACGCGCGGACACACCCACACGCGCGGACACACCCACACGCGCGGACACACCCACACGCGCGGACACACCCACACGCGCGGACACACACTCTCACACACTCACACTCTCACACACTCACACTCTCACACACTCACACTCTCACACACTCACACTCTCACACTCTCACACTCTCACACTCTCACACTCTCACACTCTCACACTCTCACACTCTCACACACTCACACACACTCACACACACTCTCACACTCTCACACACACTCACACTCTCTCACACACTCACACTCTCACACACACTCACACACACTCACACTCTCACACACACTCACACTCTCACACACACTCACACTCTCACACACACTCACACTCTCACACACACTCACACTCTCACACACACTCACACACTCACACTCTCACACACTCACACTCTCACACTCTCACACTCTCACACTCTCACACACTCACACTCTCACACACACTCACACTCTCACACTCTCACTCACACTCTCACTCACACTCTCACACTCTCACTCACACTCTCACACTCCACACTCTCACTCACACTCTCACACTCTCACTCACACTCTCACTCACACTCTCACACTCACACTCACACTCTCACTCACACTCTCACACTCTCACACTCTCACTCACACTCTCACTCACACTCTCACACTCTCACTCACACTCTCACTCACACTCTCACACTCTCACTCACACTCTCACACTCTCACTCACACTCTCACTCACACTCTCACACTCTCACTCACACTCACTCACACTCTCACACTCTCACTCACACTCTCACACTCTCACTCTCACTCACACTCTCACTCACACACACACACGCGGACACACACACTCACACTCTCACATTCTCACTCACACTCTCACACTCTCACACTCTCACTCACACTCTCACACTCTCACTCACACTCTCACACTCTCACACTCTCACTCACACTCTCACACTCTCACTCACACTCTCACACTCTCACTCACACTCTCACACTCTCACTCACACTCTCACACTCTCACACTCTCACTCACACTCTCACACTCTCACTCACACTCTCACTCACACTCACACTCTCACTCACACTCTCACACTCTCACTCACACTCTCACACTCTCACTCACACTCTCACTCACACTCTCACTCACACTCTCACACTCTCACTCACACTCTCACTCACACTCTCACACTCTCACTCACACTCTCACACTCTACTCACACTCTCACTCACACTCTCACACTCTCACTCACACTCTCACTCACACTCACACTCTCACTCACACTCTCACACTCTCACTCACACTCTCACACTCTCACTCACACTCTCACTCACACTCTCACACTCTCACTCACACTCTCACACTCTCACTCACACTCACACTCTCACTCACACTCTCACTCACACACACACACGCGGACACACACACTCACACTCTCACATTCTCACTCACACTCACACTCTCACTCTCACACTCTCACTCACACTCTCACACTCTCACTCACACTCTCACACTCTCACTCACACTCTCACTCACACTCTCACACTCTCACTCACACTCTCACACTCTCACACTCTCACTCACACTCTCACTCACACTCTCACACTCTCACTCACACACACACACGCGGACACACACACTCACACTCTCACACTCTCACTCACATCTCACACTCTCACTCACACTCTCACACACTCACTCACACTCACACTCTCACACTCTCACTCACACACACACACGCGGACACACACACTCACACTCTCACTCACACACACACACACACACACACACACACTCACTCACTCACTCACTCACTCACTCACTCACTCACTCACACACACTCACACTCACACTCACACTCACACTCACACTCACACTCACACTCACACTCACACACTCACACGCACACACGCACACATACGCACACACATACACATAAACGCAGTAAAAAACATGCATTAGAAAAAATGAATGACTGATTATGTGAATAAAGAATGGGTGCAAATGTGTGGGAGTATATGTTTTGTAGAGAGGTAGAAACTTCTCTAGCACAATTCAGTACAAAAATCTTCATGCTGCCAGTTTCTCATGCTTGGAATTTCTATGCATCTCAGATCACTTTTCACGTGTAATTCTCTCTCTCCTCTCTTTCTCCTTTCCTCTCTTTTCTCTCTTTCCTCTCTCTCTCTCCTTTCCTCTCCTTTCCTCTCTCTTTCTCTCCTTTCCTCTCCTTTCCTCTCCTTTCCTCTCCTTTCCTCTCTCTCTCTCCTTTCCTCTCCTTTCCTTCCTCTCTCTCTCTCCTTTCCTCTCTCTCTCTCTCCTTCCCTTTCCTTTCCTCTCTCTCTCTCTCCTTTCCTCTCCTTTCCTCTCTCTCTCTCTCCTTTCCTCTCTCCCTCTCTCCGTATCTCTCTCCCTCTCTCCGTATCTCTTTCCCTCTCTCCCTCTCTCTATCTCTCTCCCTCTCTCTGTATCTCTCTCCCTCTCTCTGTATCTCTTTGTATCTCTCTCCTTCTCTCTGTATCTCTTTGTATCTCTCTCCTTCTCTCTGTATCTCTTTGTATCTCTCTTCCTCTCTCTGTATCTCTCTCCCTCTCTCTGTATCTCTCTCCCTCTCTCTGTATCTCTCTCCCTCTCTCTGTATCTCTCTCCCTCTCTCTGTATCTCTCTCCCTCTCTCTGTATCTCTCTCCCTCTCTCTGTATCTCTCTCCCTCTCTCTGTCATCTCTTCTTCTCTTCTCTCTCTCTGTCATCTCTTCTCCTCTTCTCTCTCTGTGTCATCTCTTCTCCTCTTCTCTCTCTGTGTCATCTCTTCTCCTCTTCTCTCTCTGTGTCATCTTTCTCCTCTTCTCTCTCCTGTGTCATCTCTTCTCCTCTTCTCTCTCTGTGTCATCTCTTCTCCTCTTCTCTCTCTGTGTCATCTCTTCTCCTCTTCTCTCTCTGTGTCATCTCTTCTTCCTCTTCTCTCTCTGTGTCATCTCTTCTCCTCTTCTCTCTCTGTGTCATCTCTTCTCCTCTTCTCTCTCTGTGCCATCTCTTCTCCTCTTCTCTCTCTGTGTCATCTCTTCTCCTCTTCTCTCTCTGTGTCATCTCTTCTCCTCTTCTCTCTCTGTGTCATCTCTTCTCCTCTTCTCTCTCTGTGCCATCTCTTCTCCTCTTCTCTCTCTGTGTCATCTCTTCTCCTTTTCTCTCTCTGTGTCATCTCTTCTCCTTTTCTCTCTCTGTGTCATCTCTTCTCCTCTTCTCTCTCTGTGTCATCTCTTCTCCTCTTCTCTCTCTGTGTCATCTCTTCTCCTCTTCTCTCTCTGTGTCATCTCTTCTCCTCTTCTCTCTCTGTGTCATCTCTTCTCCTCTTCTCCTCTTCTCTCTCTGTGTCATCTCTTCTCCTCTTCTCCTTTCTCTCTCTGTGTCATCTCTTCTCTTCTTCTCCTCTTCTCTCTCTGTGTCATCTCTTCTCCTCTTCTCCTCTTCTCTCTCTGTGTCATCTCTTCTCCTCTTCTCCTCTTCTCTCTCTGTGTCATCTCTTCTCCTCTTCTCCTCTTCTCTCTGTGTCATCTCTTCTCCTCTTCTCTCTGTGTCATCTCTTCTCCTCTTCTCTCTCTGTGTCATCTCTTCTCTTCTCTCTCTGTGTCATCTCTTCTCTTCTCTCTCTGTGTCATCTCTTCTCTTC